ACAAGAATTTACAACTTAACTTGTATGTCTTTTTATTGCTCTTCGAATGTGTGTTTCACTAGCACATTAGTTTATGAGTGTTCCAACCTCTTTTAAAATTAAAAAATAACAAAAATGCCTACCGCGATGACTGTATGCTGCGGTATCCTGTATGATACAGCTCGGCTCTGCTAGGTAATATCTTCCATAACAAAAACGACTTTACAAACTTTTAGGTTTAGGAGAACTTCCAAGTTGAATGGATATAGTGGATTGGAATGCATTTGACTTGGTTTGATGATAACAGAAAAGATATAACTCAAACTTAATGTAAAATTCTATAAGATGTGTGGTTAGACCTGCAATCTTTATGGCGCAAAATGGATTGCCATTAAAAGAGAAGCATATTATGAAGTTAAGTGTTTGCAAACAATGAGGATTGCTCAGGTGGTTGAGTGGCTGTTTACTCTTAGAGACAGTATACGAAATGAGCATATATAGTGAAAAGGTGGAAGTAGGGCTTCCAAGTAGGCAGATAAGATTAGAGAGAGTCACCCTTAGATTGTTTGATCAATAAAACTGGCGGCCTTCCGATGACCCCGGTTAGGAGAGTACTGTATTTTGATTTAACTATGTTAAAGGAGATTAGCTAGAAAGACTTGTAGATATGATGACTTTATTAGATTACTGAGATTATTCTAAGACTGTGAATTCTGTAGCTACCACGGTGGAATAGCTTGTTGTATATGGTCTTATTTTTTCATTTATATGTAGATTTTGACTTAGGATCATGATATGTAGCACATGAGATTGATCATAATAGATCCTGCGAAAATAGATTTCAGGACCGACCCCAACGTAGTGGATAAAGGATTTTTGTTTTGTTATTGTTGTTCAATCATTGTGATTTGCAGCACATTATTATCGTTAGGTTCACATTCGCATGATCCTTATCAGCTTCCAAATATCAATCATATTTTAAATTGAACTAGATACTAATATGATTATCAACCCTCGCTTTGTTTATAATAATATAATTATTTGTTAATTCTTTTTATTTCTTGTCCATTTGCCAGCTGGCATGCTTGGTACATTCTTTTCTAGTTTATTAGGGATTTCTTCCCTCAAATTTATCTCAATATAAAAATTGTGGAATAATTTTGATTGTCTTGTATTGCTATTAGAGAAAAGCAGTCGACACACAAATTAGAGAGGAAGAGATTGAGAGAAATGAGACCGTCATCAAGGTAAAAGGAATTGGGATAAAAGTAGCAAATGTTTCTACTTCCATTTCTCAACACTATTATCGAGTGTAGAGGAAAGATGATTTAGATAATGAGACTTCACAAGGAGTAAGAATTGGATAAACATATGCAAAAGCTCTAGCCCATATTAGCTGATCAATTATTCCTTCACGTATGCCAAAATCTTTAATCGTTCTACTGAGTTGAGGAGGGAAGGGGAAATAAGAGGAAAGAGGGAATTAGTTTTATAGGATAGTGTTAATGGAGATAGATATCTGTAAAGCAGAAATATGACAATTAGATAAAGTAACTAATGATTTTTTTTCCCTCGTCAGCATAAAGATCTTATAAGGTACATAATTTGTTGCATCTAGTTTTCCTGCATATTAGTCACATCTCTTAGATTTTTTTTAGGACTATATTTAGATGATATTGCCAGTTAGTCGACATCTTGATTTTGTTAGCTGTGGTTATAATAATACTATATATAATAACCAGTTTTGATTTTAGTGAACCAAAAGTGGATATTTGTTTTTAAGATAATGATTGTGAGTTGTGCTTGCATTCGGCCAAGATGTACTGTAAAAATTTGGGAGCTTAAGTTACCTGTAAATATACGAAGAAGTGAAAGAACATAAGGACTTTGATTGAGGACACGTCAACTAATCCTTGACACCGTTACATCGAGACGCCGGAGATCAACGGCCTCAATCAGGAGTTTTATATTTTGAGTCAATTTTATGTAGTCAGTTTTATTTTTAATTTTTTCAAGTTTTTACTCTGTTGTTAACTCCTTATGGGTGTCCACGCCGTACCCGTGTCCTATATTTTTAAAAATTGTCGTGTCCCGTGTTCGTGTCGTGTCGTGTCCGTGTCGCCGTGTCCGTGTCGGTGCATCATAGCTCCTCACACTTCTCCCCATACCCCCTACCCGGTTCCCCCATAGGAATAGGCTCCACGGGATGCATTCTCTCTTTTCTCTTTTGAGTCTCCATCTCCTGATCTTCCTTGTGCCTTATTGGATTAGAGCTTTCCCTGCTTCATGGGTTGTCGGAGGCTTCCCTCGCCTATAACGACGTCGTTTTGGATTGGCCCTCGAGCAACTTCTTCAACATCTCCCCTCGGCTGAAAAAATTCCCATCAATCTTCTCGTGAATGGCTGAAATTTGACTATTGACATCTGAAAGTTGAGCGTGGAGATGAAAAATTTCAGCTTAAAATTATCCAATCTCTCATTCCAACACTTCTATCTTTCATCCTGCCATGGGAACTTGGATTTAGGCTCCAATAGCAAGAGCCGCAATTTTGACGCGAATTTTGGCCTATAATCAGCAAAAAACAACACAATCAGATACATAACACAGCAAAATTCTACGAGGAAGACTTCTATTTCAGCCCAAAAAATTGCTATGATACCAATTTGATAGGAAACACTTGAAGATCTTAAGAATTTTCTAGCAATCTTTGGAAAACAACGAGAATTCTCCACAAAAAATCTGCACAAAACCAAAAAAACAGCAGGTAATTTATATTATTTGATGAAATAGAAATGCAAAAAACCAAAATACAATTGATCCTCTATTCGAGAGAAGGATCTATTCTCCCAAATCTCTAGACGCTGCTAGAGCCCAAAAACCGAAGAGATCTCAAATTTCAGCGAAATTCAAGATGTCCTAACACTAGGAAAACAAACTATTTAATGAATACAATTCAAAAAGAGATCTCTAAACAGTCCCTACATTCAAATTTCCCTCTAAACTCCCTCAAAAATAATTCCTAAACAACTTTTCTGGAATTGACTGCTTGTTTGACGCGTACAGGAGAGCCAGACTTCCGCCTTTGTTCCGCTTGGGCTGGTCCCGTGTGGACCGACTGAACCTGTCTAACAAAATAATACATGACCACTCTCGCAATCAAAGTTTTTAAAACTAAATGAACTTGCTCCTCTATGTCCTAAAAAAGCAAAGTTATCAATGGCTATGGGCCAAAAATGATGTATTACTACTTGGCTAATCATACTAGACATAGAAGTGTGGCTCATCCTCAGAGCCTAGTTGATGCACATCATTTATAAACTTTATGAGTAATCATCAATTAATGCTCACAATACGCAAGATTAAAAAAAAAAGTATACAGACCTTTGTATTAAGACTTCAATATCATGATCTAAACATCTTGTTTGAGTGATAAAAAATTTAGTCTCTTTTCTTAGATATACCAGCCAATCTACTTTGCATATAATTTGAAGACCTATAGATGGTTAATAAATACTTAGGGAGTATCATTTAATTGAAGTAATCAAGTTTGGTCTATTAGAATTACTGCATCTAAGTGTGGTAACTCTACAATCAATAATAACACTAAAAAAACAACAAGCATCAAGTTCTAAATTCTTGGCAAACATTTGTTTTACGCTTCATCATGCTAGTCATTACGCTTATAAGTGTCCAACTAAGAAATTGCATTTAAATGTGATTTGTGATGACATTCATAAATTTAGTAAAGAGATTATTTATTATGATGATACTTTAATTGAAACTTTGAATGTTATATGTTGCATCATAGCTCCTAAAGGTAATTATGATTGGAGAATTGCGTTTTTTAAAAACTATTTCAAATATGAGAAGTTTTGCAAGCTTATAATTGATGGTATAAGTTATATGAATGTTGCTAACACAGGCCTAGACTGCAAGAACTTGAAATCTATTCAACATTAACATACATATATTGTACCTTGGGTACATAAAATTAGTATATATGTTTCTTAAAGGTGTCTATGGTGTCTAATTTCTATTTAATTGATGCCTAAATTGATAAACTTATTACATAGGTTTCTCTAAAAATCACCCTTAAAGATAACATGGACATCACACTCATACAAGAAACTTTTATGACCAACATATTTTTATAATTCAATATTAGAAAAGCCTTTTTTAAGAGATTATATGGCCCAATAAATGCTAGGCTCAAGGAAACAAATTGTATAGGAATTAAAAACATTGTGTTACTAAACTAGAATCTTAACAAATATTTGCTTATTAAAGACAAAATAAATAAAGATAAAAATATATAAATGAATCCCCATCATTCTCATTATCCTTATTCAAACTATCTTTGGTCAGCTTCATGCTCCATTTGTTATTTAAGGTTACATCTTTTTTATACCAATCTTTTTGCATAACTCATATCCACATTATTTTGACCTACCATATTTCTATTCCAATCCTATCAAATTAATTTTATTTATGTCTTATCAATGCATCTTCTACTCTCGATTGCACAAGCTTAACTCATATATATATCCACTAGGTAGACTTTGGTGGATGCTACTCTCATAGCCTCACTAATATTATCATTTTTTCATCCTTCCTACTTTAAGAGCACATTCATCACAAAATTCTCGATTTTTTCACACTAAACGTAACATTATGTAATATCTTTACCAACCAACACTTGGGTCCATATAAATGTAAAATAATAATGCAAATAATGTTGCATTATTGAACTTGGGTTTTCTCATATACCATATATAATGCAGTTTTTTGGTCCATAAATTCTAATTTGACTCTTTATCATAACTATGGACTAAATAGATGAGACTTCCACCCTAAACCAGCAGATAAAATCACCTTGAAGCAAGCATTATTTGCATTTTACCGGTCAATCATTAGATTTCTAAAAAAAGACTAATTCTTCTTCTGGCGTACTGTCAAAATTTTTAAGATGTTAACTGATATTTTAAAAACACGATTAAAATGCTCAGTATTTGCAAATAACCTGTGAATATCCTGTAGGCATTCGGCAAATCACGCTTCTGTGTGGCATAAAACACATCAGCCTTCGAAGATAAATATAGAGCAGGATCAATAATAACATGTTTTAACTTACGGGACCTGTCATAAAATCCAATTAGTGACTAAACAATATAACCAAATAAAAAAATATAGTAACTTTAAAGAAAAACAAAAAAAAGAGAAACAAGGAAAAGCTTCACTTAACTCCCTCCAATCAATATAGCTGCTATGTTGCACAAAATTGAGATCCTTTGGGAGGAAAGAAAACACATGAAGAAGATCTGAAAACAATTGAAACTAGAGTTAAACAATCAGAGCTGACATGACCATTAGAAACTTAAATTTGAAAGAAATTTGGCATTGAAGTTAAAAAAATAAGATGTGGAGAACATTATTATCATCAACATTAGCCATCTCCAAACTACTTTGGGATCGCTTTATAAATTATCCTCCATGCACTCCTATTGAGAGTTAAAAAAGATCTTAATTCCATTTTATAAAAATATTTTTTGCACAACTTCTACTCATATTACCTATGATGAGTATGTTCAATCCTTTTTCTCTCTTATTCTTTTCACATTTATAATTATTGCGGGTTGGAAGATTCGTGACGGTAAAGCGAGTAAACTTTTCGTCTTAGCTATGCATGGATATCCAGCACACAAATAGAAAGAGAGAAGTAACACACCTGATCTTTTTTACGTGGAAAGCCAAAAGAGGAAAAAACCCCAAAACCACGGGGACTCGCCCAGGCGAAAAGATTCCACTAAACTTGAGTGAATTACATGGGTTGACTCGTCCCTCGATTTAGAGGTGGTCAAATTACAATAGTTTGGAGAGTTAGGCAAATGTCTGGTGATGGTCGGGCGAAAGTCCGACGGCAGGACAGTGGTCCGACGATGGTCGGGCGAAAGTCCGATGGCAGGACAGTGGTCCGACGATGGTCGGGCAAAAGTCCGACGGCAGGACAGTGGTCCGACGATGGTCGGGCGAAAGTCCGATGGCAGGACAGTGGTCCGACGATGGTCGGGCTAAAGTCCGACGGCGGTCGGGGGCCGGGCAGTGGTCCGACAAAGGCCAGGCAATGGTCCGGTGAAGGTTGGGCTGAAGTCTAGCAGCGGTCGTCGGCCAAGCGGTGGTCCGGCAGTAGTAGGCGGCCGGGCAGTGGTACGACGAAGGTCGGGCTGAAGTCCGGCGGCGGTCATTAGCCGAGCAAAGGTTCGGTGGCGGACGGCGGTCGGGCGGTGGTCCGATGAAGGTCGGGCTGAAGTCCGACGGTGGTCGGCGGCAAGTCGGTGGTTCGACGATGGTCGGGCTGTGGTCCGACGAAGGTCGCGCTGAAGTTTGGCAGCGGTAGTCGGCCGAGACAAGGTCTGTCGGCAGCCAGGCAATTCCATCGGTGGTCGTCGGCTAGGCGAAGGTCCGGCGGTCGGCGGCGGGGCGGTGGTCCGACGAAGGTCATTGGGCTAAAGTCCGGAGGCGAAGGTCCGGCGGTGGTCCGACGAAGGTCATCAGCTGGGCGAAGGTCCGACAATGGTGCTAGAGCTCTTAAAGCTTCAGAGCTCTCTCCAATCTCTAAAAAGTCCTCTTCATGTAGAGAGTGAGGGTTTATTTATAAATTTTCATAAGTGGCACACCCCGTAAATATAGAAAATATCTAAGGCAGGTTCGGAATGCTCCATCGGATGGCTTATATTGATTCCCCCAATCATAGAGAGTTTTTCAATTGTTTATGATCGGGGCTATTAACTGTTTAGAGGGTTCGGAGTGCCTTAACGATATCAGAATTCATAGATCTTGGGCTCGTTGGATTCGTCTCGCCGAGCCGCTCGATTTGACTATAAGCATGCCATATTTTGAAATCATTTTGTCATCCAAATAATGCTTTAACTCTTCCAAAGGTCGTTTGAGCCCCCAATTTGGACCCATTTGGGCTTGGGTTGGACTGATTTTGGTGTCGTTAGGTTTGTCTCTTTGAGATGTTCAGTTTGACAATAAGTTTGTTGAAATTAAAATTAATATGATCCAGAATTTCATTTTGAAAGTTTCCAACTTGAATATTTCTCGAGATACGTGCTCGATAAAAGCAATTTTCGATGACGTATCAATAATATTCACCTTCCTATTGGAGGATCTTCCTTCTTCTATTGTACAACCTCAAAACAAATGTGTACATTTTACTAGCTTACTGTGACCGAGCTATGCTCTAACATTCTCTCTAAGATAATTATTTCTCACATGGAAATTCATAGTTTTATCACATCCATGTAATATTATCATATCTATCACACTCATCTTGATTATCAATAAATATTTTGTACAGAACTAAAACGCAAAATTTAACTCAAACAAAAGCTGAGGTATTTTACTCCAACGAAGGATGGAATAAATAACCAAAGAACGACGACAAGCAAAAAGACTCCGAAGGCACCGCTAGTTCAGCCGGCCCAGAAAAGATATCCTAATTAAAATTTTCATCACAATGTTTCTCGAAGCCATTGAATTTGTCTTAAGATATTCGTAATACAAATAAAAAACACTAACATATAATACATTCATCTCAAGCAAAATCCAAGCATTGAGAACAATCCGGATAAAAATTTGATCAGTAAATCATGAAATTTGATCAGTATATCATGACTCAAAATATTCCTTAAAACCCTCAATCGAAACCCTAAGCGACACATTTCGTCACATTGAATAACGCAATCAAGTCATATCAACCTCATGCTCCCATTTAATATGAACTCCAAAGCAATTCAGAACTGAGCAACCTATATGGCGAAAGCATACCGTCCTGGGTCACGAGTGGGTAATCATCAGCTCCGAGGTTGATAAACCAATCCCATTTTCCGGAAAGGCGCAACAACACCGCAGCGCCGTGAACCGTGGAAGCAAGGGCAGAGGATCCCCTGGGGTTAGCGAAGTCCGCGTGCCCAAGTACATGGACATTGCGGGCGGATCTAAAGGCGGGAACCGCATGGAGATCGCGGGCGAGCCGATCGCGCTGTTCCTGAGGCGCCGAGAGGTCGAGGTGGAGAAGGTAAAGGTTTTTAGGATGGTAGATGGCGAGGACTAGACGGAGGAGGCGGTCGGCGTCGTTTGTAGAACCAGAGAGGAAGTAGGCGAAGGATGGAGGAGCGGGCAGAGATGATGTTCTGAGCGCGTCAGCAGCCGCGTCGGCTGCGGAAAAGGATGAGGATCGGAGAGGTAAAGAGGAGGAGGGATAGAACGAGAGGAGGAAGAGTAAGCAGCAAGCGAGAGCGATGATCAGAACGCAGTAGAGGTGACGAGAATCTTTGGGGAGGAAGGAGGAGATAGGGGGGTGCGTAGAAGTGGCCTGCATCGCTCCTTTGCTTGCTTCGGCTTCACCATCATTTGATCTGCAACTTTTATTTCGCCAACGTCGCCTATCAGCTTTTTTATCTTGTGATGGTACCCGCTGGATTGCTACCGTCAACAACCCTCCTGATCTCAAAACAACTTGGAAGCTCTTCGATGTGTATTAAAATAGAGGATTTACATACATACCATATATAACATTTATTTTACATATTTAACATTTCAAATATTTACATTTTATATCTATCACTCAAATACAAATTTAATCTCAAATATATCACTCTGTCTCTCGTAAAGCTCACGACGTTATCCTTAGGCTAAAATCCCCATCTGTGCTAGCTCTCAACTTCCAATAAAGAAGGTAAGTTCGCAGCTCAAAAGAAAGTTAGGGTTTGCATCCTGCATCATGCCTATTGAAATTCCCCTTCCCACCTGTTCTCTTTTTGAAGTTGTGCTTTCTTCCACCGCCCTGCTTGTGACGTGTTCCGCGGAAAGGTGATCTGTCTCTTCGTGACGCATTCAAACGATTTGGCTTTTGTAATGGTGTTAGAGAGGTAAGGGTTTGCATAACGAAACCTTATGAGAGAACATTGCATAGGATTACATTTGAACTAATGATTTGTGAATTTTAGGTATTTGATACTTTGCCTTATTATTTTCCGTGAAAATTGTAGACCTAATTTAAGACTGCGTACATCATACAAATCCGATGCGGTAGCTTACACCTATTTGAAGCTCTAGCTATCAACCATTCTTTCCAAATGACGAATATGAATCTGTTGCATGCATTGCTATATGTGCTTAGTCTTTTGCTTAAATAATTATGGTTTGAATCCGAGGTGATTTAGACATGGCCTGGTTAGTTGGTTATCTCGACGCGTTGGGTTGATGTACTTGACATTATTGTATTCTAATTGTCCAAATTTTTTACTATTTTGAAAAAACTTTTTCCATTTCAAATGAGTTCTACAAATTCATCTATTGCGAAAGTCAGACGCCAGCATTTGCAAGTTTAATGTTACAGTAACCTGAACTGTGTGTTGTTGTATACATGCTATCGAGGACGGTAGAAGGCAATTTTATAGGTGCATTTATAATCAAACTAATGACACATGCGGTTATTTTAAATGGATGGATCAACAAGAAGAGTCATCTTATGTTACACATTATGAATTTCAAGGCTTTGAGGGAAGGATTTCTAAGCAGCTTGACTTGATCCTTCTCATTATGAAAGTTTTATTGCGATAGTTCTAATTGACACTACAATCCGAGTTTATTTTGCCTAGTAAAGTGTTGTGTCGAGGAAGGTTTGATGTAGTGTTTTCGAGATTGACACGTGTTGCACTTTTAGTTTGCTTGCTTATTGTTCAAGGTTAATTGTTGAAGAAATGTGTTTCCTTGAACTTGCATTTTAGCATATCTTGTAGTAGTGTGTTGTATCTTCACTGATTTTGTGGAACAAAAAAAAAAAAAATATTTAAGTTTGTTCGATTGTTATTCTGACTTATGTAGTTAACACAATCAACAATTAAATGCGAAATATTGTCCGAATACAATTTTCACATACATGAATATAGCGGTAGACTTTATGAAAGTATTTAAAAATATATATATATATCAGAAAGTGCTTCTAATGTAGAAATAACGAGATGAGTGAAATTATTCTATGCAGATACGGACGTCGTCCAGAGGTGAATTAGAACGTGTCATGCCACTCGTTTGTTGTGTGCCACCACGGTTGTGTACTGCTGAGTACTAGATGACATCGCATGTTCTAATTCACCTTCTGACGGTCCGATATCCCTAAAAGTTCTCACCATATGCACATACTTGTCAGGATATCTTTCCATTAAAGTAAGATTGAGAAAAGTCCAAACTTTCTTATGGCAGCTTCGCAGGCACCTTTCTAGAAAGTTTAAGTTTAATCTTCCTAACGCCTACGATGAGGTCTTTGTGGAACACTAATAGCAGCTTATAGAATCATATGAAAAACATAAAAATCAAATTTTAGCTTCACACCAAAATAATGTGCCCTCACATAAGAAAAAAAAAGGTGGCCTTTTACTTTCCAAAATAAACTTTAGAAATTCATAAAAATTTATAAACCATCAACGTATGAACCCACCGAGGTTTAGGGTGGTTGGCGGGTGAGCACGGCTGGAAACCCTCATCCCGGATTCGAATCTCATCTGCTACAGCCTCGCCTCTTCAGTGGAGCAAAGCAAGTATGGGCCCGATGCCAGTGGGTGGCCTCGTAGGTCCCACCGAGGGATTAAATATGCCGCCAAACGCTCCTATTAGAGTAGTTCCGGGTAGATACCCCCGTTCCAAAAAAAAAAAACTATCAACGTATGTGCATAATCCTCAGTAAAGTCATCTAAACTCCGTCTACTCTACAACTTTGCACATCTTGATTGTCCTACTTATGTTAGTGTTGCGTCATTGTTGTTCTTATTTGGTAATACGTTCTTGCACCTAGTCCGATAACAACCCCAAAGAACACACATACTGAATTTGTGTGTTTTTTTTTGTCCTTCTCAAAGAAATTTAGCAGTCTTCTTTTTCTTGGCCTATCTCTTTTTTTTTTTTTTGTGACGAGGAACCATGCCGCTTTGTGGCAAAGTAAACCCCGGTCGACCTAGCAGGCAACCCACGCCATTTACCAGGGCCAACGCTTAAGGTTATCACAGCCGTCCAAGGTATTTGAGTTCGGGACCAGGTGATGTTTTTGGATAATATATTAACTCATTATGTTTAAGTAGAAGGGTATTATAATATTAACCAATAGTATTATAATACACATGCTAAAATTTTAATAAACTATTATAAAAATGCAATAGTCTCCTTAAAAATACAAATAAAATTAATATCTTTTTCAATAAATACAATTAATTAGATCTAATAATGTGGCTTATTAAATAAGTATGTAATGTAACACAATTGGTGATGCATTTAATCATGCTTGATTTTTTTTTATATAATATAATCTAAGTTGTCCTTTTAATCATGTGAGAAGGCACTCTCAAAAGCAAGGTCATTATATGAAGGAAGCCATGTGCTTGTGATTTTAATAAGGGAGCCTCATTTGGCTCTTTCCCCCTTAGTTGATCCACATATATATATTGGATTCCAATTTTTTTTTTAAATGATAAATATTTTAAATATATTTTATTTAGGAAAATATTTGTATTTGAATTTTATATGGGTGAATTATATTGAAAACAAATGAAATCTAAAATTTTATTTAGAATGAAAAATAGATAATTTAAATTTTTTTTTCAGATTTAGGTGGTTAAGATGAAAAAATTAGGGGTTATTTAAGATTATTTTTTAGTTTTATTATGAAAAAAAATCAAAAATCATACATTTTTTGAAAAAAAAAAATTTAAAATAAATTTTAGGTATTTTTTTAGTTGTTTTCATTTTCTTAAATGAAAACCATCATATCTGTTGACTACTGCCACCGGCCATTAATCTCAATCACTTGCAGTCATTTTTGGTGTACACATGGCCTTCTTATGTAATATTTAATGAAATAAAAAATAATATTTGTTAATTATTAATTTTTTTTTTATTTCAAATTAAAATATAAGTAAAATTATA